TAATATTTATAAATCTAATTTTCTGTTGATTTTATCTTAACATTTTTGCCAGAATATTTGAAGAGCTCAACCATGAAATATGTATACTCCTTAAACTTCAAATACACTGATGAATCTTACACAATTTTTCCTACTCCTATTTGATTATTCCACATCCTTCTATTGCTTGCTTATTTTTTTTCACTCCCTGCCTTGATTGGCTGACTGCCCCTGACTTCTGCTAAATAGGGGACATATGAGGCTTCCTAAGAAGAAAGCAGACAAGCCTTATTGATGAAACCATCCCATAGGCTTAGCTCAAATACAGTTGACTAGGACTTTGCTGAGATATCTCTTTATGCTAGTACTTCTCTAAGCAGGTGACTTATAGCTTCAAAAGCTTTATCACAAACTTGTAGTCTTACTATAGCTGCTTCTTTAAATTTTTAGTGAACAAACTCTTGAGGAACTTCTAAGTGGTTTGTTCTGCTTTTTTGTTTTTTAACTCACCCAATTTGACATGAAGTTATTTCAATGGAAAGGAAAAATGAGTCTGAGCTTTTATTCATAGGAAAAAGTAAAAAGATAAGGGTTTCGTTAGAGAGGGATTGAATTTACCGCAGCCTCTAATCTGCTCTCGTGGCATCCTGTAATTGCTTGGTAAATGTGCCTCCAAAAGACTGAATAAAGCAGGATTTTGAACTCTTCTTCTTTTTTTTTTTTTTTTTTTTTAGTATTTTGAACTCTTACGCAGTTGTTTCTTAGCTAGTTTGATGATCAGAAAAAATTAATGCTGAATACTAGCAACATTTTCATAAAACTGTCAGCTAGAGTTCTCATGATGTATTGCATTCTGCCAGGTTCTGGCTGCTAAATTAAGACCTGGGGTCAAAAATAAAAAATACAAAAGACCCTGAGATATTGTCTACTCCAGGATAGGCAAGAGCTGCCACACTGGCTCTGGCAGCATGTTGGAGCAGTCAACCCAGGGGAGCATGATGTAACCCCTCTAGGCTTATGCCTCTTGAAAGAGACACTTCTTTGTCATCTCGACTGCCAACTTCCCAAACAAAGAAAATACTTTTAGATGAAATACTGTCTTCTTGAGACACCAAAGATCCTAATAAATACGGATTATAAGACATCTCAAGAAGTCATCTATATGGGAGAAGATATACAAAGTCTTCTTCCAACATAAAATCACATATTGAATCAATCTCTCGCTCTCTCACCAATTACTTAGGTTATACACAGATGTCTGCTGCATTAGAGTAGTTTTTTTTTTTTATTAAAAAAGTAATGAAAGTTGACTCCAAGTGTTGATGGAGAGGTATATATCATGCTTTCCATTTTATACCCCTCAAAAAACTGAAAAATGTAATTCTCTACTTAAGGTTCTACAAAACATTTAATTCTGCACCCACTGTGTGCCAACTACTGTGCTAGGGACTTAATAATATTTATACTGTAAATTAATCTACTATACTTCCTTAATCCCAAATTCCTATTCCAGATTTCCTCAATTTTTATGTTTGAAGAGTTTAAAATTTAGCTTTTTGCACAGTGCTGTTGCTTAGTAGCTGTGTGCAACTCCATTTTATTTGTCAGGACACTCCACGGGTCAAGGGGACAAAGTACAAATAAGCCAAATGTTTCACCAACTTCAGTTTGACCTGATACTTTCCTATTGTTCTTCTCTTCTTCATGGATTTACTTCTACCTATTACTTGAGGACTCCCCAGACAATATTATCCCTGCCCAGGTCATTGTCGTCTGCTCCCGCACCGCCCCCCACAAACATCAGGGACTCTCCGTACCCTTCCTGCTTGACAGGTTCCAGATTGAGCTTCTGCATCTCGCTCAGGGAGTGGCTCTTCCAAATGGACTTGGTCCCTTGCCTGTTTCCCGCATCTACTCTGCATTGTCCATTCTATTTCTTTCCTGTGACGTGAACTCATCCCTCTCTGAATTATCCCAGCTGCCCCTCCCCAGCCCAGGTCTTTATCACCTTCAGCTCAGAACTCTTCTCAAAGCTTTAGCTCTCCCATTAGTTGATTTATTTTTACTTTTCATTCTACTGTAACACATTTTTTAATCCCAGTTTTCATACCTCAGTTCAAGAGTTTCTTTCTCTGGGAAACCTGTACTCAGCCAAGCAGATTTGGAAATGTCTCACCTCATACTGTTACTGCTGTATCTTGATTTCAGAGATGGCTTTTGAGTTAGTAATAAGGATCTAGACTTAAGAGACACAATACAATTATATTCTTCCAACACCACCCACTTTTGTCTTTTTGTGTAACTTGATTTAAATTTCTGATGGACTACATTCACACATGCATTTATGAAGCAGAAGGTTCTGCAGATAAATGTCTCCAGATCAGTTTCCTCCTTTGAAATGACTGAAAATTGTGTCCATGTATTTGTTTGTTTATTTATGTTGGGGATCAAATCCAGGGCATCACTCATGCTGAGCTCATACTCTTATCACCAAGCTGCAGCATCTCCCACCCTGAGCCAGAGGTACATATATACACACACTTCATAGTTGTATGAATAAAAAGGGAACATGTTCACACTTCAGGATTCCTGTACTACCAGAGCCTTCGATTATTTGTGATTTTAGTTTTGGTTCATCTTCTGGTAAGACTGCCAGTACTTGTACATAGTGGCATATCATCAGCTCTGTATTTTATTCATTGCTTGTCTCTCCAGTAGAAAGTTGGCTCATTTAGGCCAGAGACTGTGTCTTTGTGTTACATACCAACAACCCAAGTAGTAACTGATAACACTAAATGCTTGGTGTGCACTGATTAAATGAAGAAATGACTACATGGTATTTTTTTTCTTTATCCCTTTTCCTGAGCTAGAATGAGACAAGTCATATTGAGACTACTCAGAATAGTAGATGCAGATATTGCATTCTAGTTGTTTTCAGAGACATGATGGAGAATTGTCTCTGTACAGATATAGGAGGGAAGAGTTAGAGTATAAAATAGAAAACAGAGACGCTCTGGCTAAGATGGGCCGTAAGTCCACACGAGGAGCAGAAGCGGAAATCCAAATACCAGTTTACTAATGGTGAGCAATGAGTGCAAGTTATGTTGTAGAGAAAATTATTAAACAACATGGAGGTAAAACGCACTTTTAAT